GAGTATTAAAATTCCTTCCAAAATAAGATGATAAGCAGGAGCCTAAAAGAGTCCAAAACAATAAAAGATACAAAATAAACACTTTCGAAACCTACACATAAAATTTAACCCACCTGCATATACTGCTTCCCAAGACTTTTAATTTGTTACTTCTTAGAATTTACTTTAAAAGCTCCCTTAATTTCTATTCATCCCTAATGGAGTTTGGATGTGTTGTCCCCTCCAAAACTCATGTGGAAATTTGATCTCCAATGTGGCAGTGCTGGAAACTGATTGAGTCATGGGGGCGGATCCCTCATGAATGGATTAATGCTCTACCTGGGGGGGGGGGATTAATGAGTGAGTTCTCGCTCTATTAGTTCCGGCAAGAGCTCGTTGCTTAAAAAGACCCTGGCACCTTCTCTCTCTCCCGTCTCTCCTGTCTCTCTCTCTCTCCCCTCTCTACCCCCCCTCTCCTCTCTCTCTCTCTCTTTCTCTCTCTTGCTTCCTCTCACCATGTGATCTGCTTGTACCCACCGGGTCCCTGCCACTTTCCACCATGAGTAGAAGCAGCCTGAGGCCCGTGCCAGATGCAGCTGTCCCAGAATCGAAAGCCAAATAAACTTCCTTCCTTTATAAATTACCCCCCCCAGTCTCAGGTTTTTCTGTTATAGCAACACAAAATAGACTAATACAATCCCTTTTTCCCATTTCTAATACTAAGCACTTTCTCCATCACATGAAAGACCTCTAATAGCTTCAGCTTTTAAAAGCTCTTTAAGGATAAAAATGAAAAAATTTTAAATATTTACTAAGTTGTACCAACTTTTATTATTTATTTTATAGCCTGAGAATAAGTTTAGGGATAACACTGCAGAACAAGTTCTGCGATAAAAGCTTTCTTCTAGTCAAATTCTGAAAGGAGATATTCTACAATATTCCACAGGTATCTATACGCCACACAGATAAATGTTTTATTTATAATGAAAACTCTTTCAATCTCCACTAAGTGTCAACAATTTGCAGTTTCTTTTACACAGAGTATAATCATTAAACTTATACTAGAATGTACTCATAATAATTGGTTCATTGTAGATTTTCCAAAGTTTTATAAAGCAATATATATGAGGGTACTTCAAAAGGTTCATGGAAAGACTCGTATTTGAACTTAAAAATTAAATTTCTAAAAATAAAATCTGACACAGAATCCTAATATTCAAAAAAATACAAACCATCAGATCCTTTGGGTATTTTAAATTTTTCCTGGTGGGAAATGACCATAAAAAAACATTCCACAGCTTAACTAGCCTTCCACCACATCCATCCACACATGGGTGAGTTGACGGTTACGGGATAATGAGCTTCCACAATTCTTAAGTTTTGCACCTCTATAAATCCTTCTTAGAATGTGGCAGAGAAGGCCGGCCCGTGGCTCACTCGGTAGAGTGCGGTGCTGATAACACTAATGCCACGGGTTCGGATCCTATATAGGGATGGCCGGTTTGCTCACTGGCTGAGCGTGGTG